CAGGTTCTTTACCTCCTCAGCAACTACCTCGGCGTGATGCAACGCCGATCTCCGTGTTCGCTGGATGACTGGCTTTGCTCCAGGGAAGACATTGAGGTGATGGCAGATAAAACTTGGGTCGAGGCCAGGCATGTCGTAAGGCGACCATGCAAAGACTTCGATATTCGCCATTAAAAACTCAATCATCTCGGTTCTCTCAATGGCCGTGAGACTTGAACCGAGCAAGAAGAACTTGTCCGGCTGCTCGGTATCAATCCGCACTTCAACCAATTCTTCAACAGCCTTATCCTCGGCCTTGGTGCCCACATCATCCAAGACACCCTGGTCCTCCGGTCCTTCGATCATTTGAACGAATCCTTTGGCAGCCCGGCTTCCGTTGACCGCCACGAAGCACTGCTTGGACATGACCTGATCGCCCCAAATCTCCTCGATTGCCCCCATGGCCGAGGGGAATCTCATCACCTGGTGATAAGTCGATGCTACAGCTTGCATGGCGTGTAGCCATCCCCTTCCAAGGATGAGGTTGTACGTCGAAGGCACTTGTAGCACCCAAAACTCAACTTGTTTGACCACGGATCCCGCTTTGACCGGCAGGATAATCTTTCCCAAAGGCCACTCCGGTTGCGAGTTGAATCCAACAAGTGGCGAAGTTACCGGAGCCAAGTCTGTCTCCCGGAGTTTAAGCTGCTTGAACGCATCATAGTACATGATCTCGACCGAGCTTCCCTGATCGATCAAGATCCGTCTAACATCAAATTCTTTGATGCGTAGTGTTACCACTAGGGCATCGTTGTGCGGCGTCTGAATACGTTCTAGATCCCTTGAGGTGAAACTAATCACGTCTTTTTCTACAGTCTTCCCCCTTTTGATGGCGGGCTGTACCAACAAAACTTCCCTCATATGTTCTGCCTTTTTTATCATGCCCCGGAGTTCGCAAACTCGCTCTGGTTCCACGATGCCGTGGATGACAACACGCTCCGGTTCCACGATGCCGTGGATGACATTAATAACTCCCTGTGGTGGTGCGTCTCGGTCATCCTGTCCCCTGGGATCGTCCGGAGCCTGATTCGGCTTCACGCCGCCATCAATGTAAAGGTCTAGATGCCCGGCAGCGACCAGCTCTTCTAAGTGTTGCCTCAAAGGCAAACAATCCTCAGTTCGGTGGCCTCTCTCTCGGTGGAACGTACAACGATACCGCAGATTATAGCCCTTTTGTTCATCGCCCAACTTAGCAGGAAACCGGACATACTCCTCGTCTCGGATTTCACTAAGTATGCAATAGATTGGAATCTTGAAGACCGTGGTTATGCCAGTCCTCGCCTTCATCCTTCTGTTTGCGTCCTCAACGTCATCTCGGAGGTAGTTATCCCGGTCATGCCGACGTCCTCTACCCCGGTTCTTACGATTTGAACCACGGTCTGATTCCTCTGCTCGGTCACTTGAGCGGCTGGACTCTTGCCCAACTGCGTGCACTTTGCCTGCTGTCTTCTTGTCTGTTACTACCGGACTGACCTTCACGGTAGAAGCTAACGCGTCATCCTCAACACGGATGTGCTCATTGATGCACTGCATGAGCTGGCCCATGGAGGTTGGCTGGTGCATGGTAAGCGAGTCCCGCAGTCTATGTCCGACCGGGAGACCACGCTTGTATTGTGTGATTGCAAGGTTGACCGGGCAGTCCAAGATCTCGTTGAAGGTTTCCCAGTACCTTGAGTTGTATACCTTCAGTGTGTCGCACGGTTCCATCTTAACACTTAGCAAATGATCAACTTCTTTTGGTGTCTTTGTGTTGGTTTTGAAGCGCGTAACAAACGCCTCGGCCAACTGATGCCACCGTTGTACGCTCCCTTCTGGCAACCTCTCGAACCACTTTAAGCCCAGCTCGCCTAAACTGGACGGGAAGATTAGGCACATAAGTCCGTCATTGCGCCTATGCCCCGCCATGACCTGTCGGAAGTGGCTCATATGCATGTACGGATCTGTCTTTCCGTCGTAAAGTGTGAACTTAGGCTGGTAGAAGCCTGCCGGAAGTGGTGTTGTTTCAATTTCTAGGGAAAAAGGAGTGGCACTCAGCCTGGCCAAGTCCATATCTTCAAGGAGTGGCACTGCTTGGCGGGGTGGAGGCATTCCGACCTCCTTGCTGGCGTGAACCCCGTAGGATAGCTGCTGGAAAGCAGGTATTCTCTGAGCTTTGCGCCGGCGGGCCCGCTCCTTTAAGACCGCCCGTAAATCCTCTGACTGTGCGGAGTAAGAGTACCTTGACGTTGTCGCCGGACGTGAGGGTTTGTAGGTGCTGTCTTGCGCGCTAGACTTTTCTGCATGCACGTCGGAATCACCAACCTGGAAACTTCTAGTAATGGATATGGACTGAGTATGTCGTTGACTCTGACCGCCTGAACAGCGGGACGGGGTGCGCTCACTGTGGTCTCCCACTCCAACTACACCCTTCCCTTTGACATGCCGCTTGAGGTCTTCCATCTCCGCCGCCATTCGCCGGATGACTGCATCTTGATCCCACCCATTGTAGCTCGGGTTGGTTCGAGTTAGAACCATGATTCCACTATATATAAATAGAAGTGAATCAATTAATAATAAATAATTAAAAAAGGAAGTCTCTAACATTTAAACATAGCATAAATAAACAGCAAAATATTGTTTACTGCAAACTAGTATAAATTAAATCCAACTCAAGCTTAAACATAATCAAAATAAATTAAATCCATTAATACAACCAATACAAATTAAACGAATTAATCCAACTCAAACTTTTAATATTTCATTCGTTCACCTAATAATTTTTGTATATAGAAATTATTAGGTGCAATCAAGTTTAGACATGTTATTATAATACATATATATTGTACGGGGAGCAAATATTCCGGCGTGCCCGTATTCCTTTCTTCCGAGCTCCGTCGATATCCGATCACCTGCGAGCAAATAACGGTGAGCTACCCGGCGGTGTGTGGCCGGAAACACCCTCCGACGGTCAAATTAGCACACACCTTAGGATGGATAGAGAGAAGGGAGAGAGTGTTTGAGTGTAAGAATTTCTTACAGAGATGTTCGTGTTGCGTATGAGGGGCGCAGACATGCTTTTATACCTCCTGAGCCCCATATCCACTCCCAGTCATCTCCTGACACGTGGCTCTGCTATCCCATCTGTCAGCATAAACCATGCCATTCACCACCTAACCTCAACTGCCTGACTTCACAGCTGGAGCTCGGCAGCCGAGCTGCTCTACCTCGGCCATGTCATGCTTCAAATCCATGCACCTAGCCGGACAAACACATGAAGGACCGGGCTAGGCGGCATCTCGGCAAAGCCTAGCCCAGGCACCTCCTTTGGTTGGCCTTCTTGCCGGTCAATCAACTACCTCGGCTGACCGCGCCTTTCCGGGCGCCGGTCTCTCGGTCTGTCTGGTTTCGACCATCCTCGGACCGAGCATCCTGGTCTGACCGATCACTCCCTGGCCGAGCGGTTTCTGTACGGTCCGGGGTGGCACACACTCAGTCCAACTCTGCCCGGCCCAAGTTCTGGCAGCCCATTTCCGGGTGGAGAGTTGATCAGCTCGGCCCCATGCACCGTTGGGCCCTCAACCTGCTCGGCCGTCACCTCGGCCCAACTCCAGATCATAAATTACCCTCTCACCAAGGTTTTGTAATTGTGGAAGAACAACTTCCATACGTATAGTACGAACCAATCAGAATGGAAATGAAGGACGTGTCTATTTTGTTTGCTCAAGAAAATATGTAAGTACCTGTTATATAAATGAATCTGTTACTTTTTACAAATTTCATTTGCTTTTATTGATTAACTGATTCTTGTCCATTGTAGACTGCGAACGAACACTGCAATTACTTCAGGTGGTTCGCAGATGATGACGACGACGACGATGACGACGACATTACCTCCACAATCCAAGCCAATGCTGGACCTTAGACAGATTCAAGAACAGAAGAAATTAATGATCTAAGGAGAAGGCTTGGTGAGCATGATAGAAGACTTCAAAGGATGGAGAAGATTTTCAAGGCAATGACTTATGTCATTGTATTTTGTGTATTTTTGTACTTTATCATGTAAATGACTCAATTGTTAGGTTTTGGAACATGCTATGAATGTGATCTACTTTTCTACTTGTTTTGTAATTTTTTTTTTTGCTTAAAAATCTGATGGTTTGAAAAAACAAGTGTATAATAGGTTTGTTTGAGATGAAATGTGTTGAATGAATAGTATGTGAAATCTGTTGAATTATGTTGGTTGCTTAACAGTGTGCATTATATATGATGGTTTGAAAAAACAGGTGTATTGATTAACAATGTGTTGACTTAACAGGTGCTTGACAGTGTATCTTTTTGGACAATGGTTGAACAGGTTGAATTGAAATGTGTTGAACGAACAGGTTGAAGGTTGATTAACAGGTTCTTGAATGATTAACAGGTTCTTCAGGTTGAAGGTTGATTAACGGGTTGAAAGCTGAAATTTGATGCTATGAACTTGGTGTGAAATCTGTTGATTAACAGGTTATTGAATGATTAACAAGGTCTTGGGAAAATCTGTTGAATGAATGGAACAATGTTGAAAAATCTGTTGAATGAATAATAGGGTCATGAATGATTAACAGGGTCTTGATTAATGGGACAATGTGTGAAATCTGTTGAATGAACAGAACCTTGCTTAACAGTGTGTATTGTATGTGATGGTTTGCAAATGACTCAGGTGTATTGATTAACAATGTATTGAATGAACAGGTTGAATAGGTTCAATGTGTATAATAGGTTGAACAGGTTGAACTTGACAATGTGTGAAATTTGTTGAATGAACAGGGACATTTTTTAACAATGTACATGATGGCACACTAATAACAGTGTATTGTATGTGATGTTGAACAATATGTTCATGGTTTGCATTTATTAGCAGGGTCATTTCTTAACAATGTGTATGGTTTGCATTATATGTGATGGTTTGCAAATGAAATACTAGCATTTATGCCACCATCGAATCAGATCAACCCATATGCCACCATTGAAAGCAACAGCACAACACACTGATGATTCCAAGCATTTATGCCACCATTGAAAGCCAAAACCAGCAAATTCTGTTCAGATGCAGGACACTTTGGGCTGCAGAATACTGTAATGCAAGACATTATAGTAGTCTTTCAGTAACATCACCCCACTCTAGCCGGCCCAGCAGTGCAAAGATGAACACCAAACCAGCAGACAGGCAACCCAACAATACCAGAAGCAGATAGAACACACTTCACAGAACAGATTGAACACCAATCCATCAGTAGCAGCAGTAGCCCTGTTGAAGAACTCAAAATACTAGCAGACAACATAAGAAGGATAACAAAGGGAAATTGCAGCAGAGGCAGCATTTCACCCCAGACCCCAAAAACAGAACTGCAGAGCATTGAAACACTTTTGATGCAGACATCTCCAATTCAGGATGCTACAATGGCCAAACAGAGCACCCATGAACAGCTGACTTAATTGAAACTCCCAACACTGCCCAGCAAAATGCCACTGCTCATCAACACTACAATGGACTAGTTGCACCAGTGATGACAGCATCCTGAACTGCAGAGACCACTTAACAGATTTCATTCAATCAGCAACAGATTTGCAGAGACTATTTCTAACAGATTTCATTCAATCACCAATAGATTTGCAGAGTTCACTTCCTCACCAACAGATTTCATTCAATCACCATTTCTACAGAAACATTATGACACTCATAGTGACTAACAGAACCATTTGTACAGAACCATTGGTACAGAAATTGATTGAGAATAAAAAATAACAAAAAATTGCTTGAGAATGAAAAATAACAAAAAATAACAGAACCATTTCTAAGAATAACAAAAAATTTCCAAATCATTCAACTCAAAAATATGGGACATTCACTTCGTTGAACTCAAACATATGGGACATTCAAGTGAACAATCAGAAGTTTACAAATGAAATTCACGTACAATTACCACTTCGAAACTAAAAAAAAAATGGGACATTCGGATCCCCGTCGATGTTCAAGTCAACAAAATATGACGGTACTATCGATCTTTCACTGCTAATATTGTTGACCATTCCAGCTTCTTGGTGAGATGTGCTCCCAATGTCGTCCCCACTTGTGGCAATTGGTGCCTGTAAAAATAAAGTAAATAATAAAAACAAAATTCCACAAACATATTCAGGGAAAGGGTCTGATATGGCATCCACAAACAAAGTGCAATTTATTAAGTCCGTTGAACACATACCGGTACAAGGAAAGAGTCTGCTATGGCATCCATAGAAGGACGATAGTAATGTTGACTTGGCGGCACCTAATGATGAAATAGTAACACAAGTAAATTACAAATTTCAAGCAGTAAAATTAAAAGCCAAAATAAAAAACCCCAAACAACCTTCATATTTAACACGTACCGGTTCATACATGATGTGCTGCACGCCTCCCATACAAGGAAAGCTTAACGTACGAGGTTCACCTTGACGCACCTTCTTATTCATTCCCTTCAACCGATTGACTATTGCATCAACCTTGCTAACCTTCCGTTTCGTACATAGACGGCCTCTTCGACGAGCAACTAAAGGACTTCATACCTTGCGAGTCATGCTTTCTTTTGTAGTATTGATACGAGGCGGACTTTTTGGTGAAGTATGGGAAGGTGGTAAAGTACTACTTGAAGGTAGTAAAGTACTAGTACATGGCACATTACTCGCACTACTTGATTGAACTGTTCTCACTTCATCTTTCATTTTCATCAACCTAAGTTGAATCACTTTGTGTTTAGCATCATCATTGGTAGCAAAATCTAGGATTTCATCCAACGTGTTGTGATAGTTATCATGCAACTTTGGATGTAGAGAAGAGCCAAAGTTAGTATACGTGGTTGGAATGCATGTGTAGCCTCTTTCTAAGTCTTTTCTCCATCTCGAAACAATGTATTTAGTTGGCACCTCATATATGGATCTCTCAATGAGCACAGAAAGTGAATGTGCACACATAATACCTCTAAACTCAAACAATCGGCACATACATTGGAGCTCACATTTAGTTGAATTAAAGTACACAACAAATTCCACTTTCTTCATCCCCTCACCCACAACAATAGCATCCCTCACATGATAGGTACAAATTGGTCCCTCCTGTTTGATAAGATTTGCACGACAATACACTAGACGCTTCATTTCTAGTTGAACTTCTTTAAATTTGGAATTAGTGTAAGCTGCACGAAATTGCTTCTCAAAACGATACACCGTTAAGCAATCATACAATTTGTTACGAGACTTAAAATCTGCTTTTGTCTCCTTCTCTACCTTACTTCTCAAATATCCATCAAAGAATGCATTCATACTCTCACTTCGTTGTGTAGTTGACATGCCAATCCAAAATATGTCTTTAACATAGGTAGAAATCCACCTGTGTCGCTCACGGTGTAATACCCCCAACCACTCGTTATCATTCAAATTGAAATTTTCAATCATTGCTTCCCAGTATTCCTCAAATTCATCTTTTGTGAATGAATCATAAACTGCATTACTGAAAGCAACCTTAATGGACTCATATTGCGAATATCCTCTCAATTTCTCGGAAATTTTCTTCATAATATGCCATAAACACCAACGATGCCGAGCCTGTGGGAAGACAATTTCTATGGCATTTTGCATAGCTCTGCACTGGTCAGTTATTATCGCTTTTGGGGGAGCATCTGACATGCAACTTAACCATTCTTTGAATAGCCAAACAAAAGTCTCCGTGTTCTTTTTACTAAACAACCCATAACCGAACAAAATTGACTGTCCATGGTGATTAACTCCTACAAACAGAGCAAATGGCATGTCATATTTGTTTGTCAAATAGGTTGTGTCAAAAGAGACAACATCCCCAAATGCTTTGTAAGCCGCCCTACTCCTTGCATCCGCCCAGAACAAGTTGCGCATGCGACCATCTTCATCAAGGTTAATTGCCGTATAAAAGTTTGAATTTTGTTGTTGCATTTTATGAAAATAATGTGTAACTGATTCGGCGTCTCCTATCCCAAGTCTCAACCTTCTAGCATTGTTGCTATAATTCATTGCATCTCGTTCATCAAACGTTAATGCCTCATATTCCCCCGCTTCAACAACTATGGAATAAAAATTCTTAGCCACCCCAATTCCCTTGCTGCATCGTTAACTTCTAATCTCCTCTTCACCGGCGTAACAATCCTCTTATTCATTGCAAAATGCCGTGAGTCAGTAGCAACCAAATCATGAGTGTGCTGAAGCACAACTGTGGTTAACTTATATGTTCCATCCTTCTGTAGACTGGCTCTTACCCTTGCTTTACACTCAATTTTTGATGACAAAGATGGTTCTAAGGGATTTATTTCTGATCTTTTTGTTTTGTTCCGCACCCTAGTGCATTCAATTCCAAAGTACTTAACTTTCCCATCACATGTTAAATTTTGTGTTCTATAAGCTATAGCAAATCCCGAGTGTTTGGCATATTTTGCATAAAATGCGTACACCTCTTCCTTTGAGGTAAAATACATTCCCTTCTTAGGTGCTTCAACTTCACCACACTCATTAAATGAGACTGTTATCTTTTTCTTCAACTTCGTCACTCCCATTGAAAAAATTATTGTTCGAATCAATATCCATTGTACCTTCAAAGTTAAATAGAATACAAAATTTTAGAGTACAAACAATTATCTTACAAACAATTATATTTATCTAATGCTATGGAATCAAATAAGGAGACATGTGAAGCTAACATATTGCAATTACAGACAACATCTCTGTGAACAAGTTGAATTAAAACAAACAAAGAAAAAATAATTCAAGAAAATTCATGACAACTGTACATTACATAAAGAAAATTCAAGACAACTCTACATCCGAACAATAATTTTTTCAATGGCTTTGGCTTTGATATTGATTCGAACAATAATTTTTTTTGCAATTACAGGCAAAAATATCTGGATTTGAGTTGCATCCGAACAAACTTAATTTGTATGGACTTATGTGACTTGAGTGATTAAGTGACTTGAACACCCAAAAGTGATTAAGTGACTTCAACCAAACATATGTTCAGACTTAAAATGTTCAGGCTTAAACACCAAAATGTTCAGACTTAGAAACAGATATTTGAGCATGATATTTGAGCATGATATATATTTGACTGACTTCAACCAAACAGATTCATTATCTAAAAGTGATTAGTCAATATTTGAATGACTTGAACCAAACAGATTGCATGTATAGAAAGCTTTTTGAAAGTGAATTTGTATGATTATTAATAGATCCCATAGCAATATTTGATTCAAGTAAGCTTGCCTTTGATTCAAGTCACTCTCAAATAATCAATATTTAATCAATATTTGAGTGACTTGAACCAAACATATTCAAGTCACAACCAAACGAATCTGTTTCTATGGGCATGATATATATTTGAGTGACTTGAACCGAATCATAGATATAAACGAAAATGACGAGCAGAGAAACAGAGTGGATTTGCTGAGAAATATAGTGGATTTGCACAAAAGGGAAACAAAAATACAATACAAACAGATTCAAATGACGAGCAAAGAACTGAAAAGGGAAACAAAAATACCAGTCAAGACTCTTCTTCTTCAACTATGGACGACACAACGGCAGCAGCTTTCGGCACCCACGGCAGCAACAGCAACCCAGATCGAAAATGTACAGTGCCGCTAGGTTACGAATGATACATCGCTCCTCTCACTGTGCAACCCAATCAAGACTCCTCTTCTTTTTCGTTCTTTTTTTATTGTTTTGCCGCCAAATATGATGCTTGGCTGTGATACTTCATTCAATTCAAGCACACGCCCGCAGCGGATAAAAAACAATATTCGGGCCACTCTCGAGCCACAACATTCGAGCTACGAATCGGAATTGTAAGGCTTTGTTTGAGAACATGCTATTTTAGTAATTTTTGATTTTTTAACTAAAATATGAGGTAAAAAAAATTAGTATGTTTGGGATGACTTTTTAATTTTTTTACGAAAAGATGTGCAACAAGTAAAGAGAAAATAAAATCTTTGACTTTTTGTATAATTTGTTAGATTTTTAAATTTTTTAATAACATTTTAAGTTTTAAACTAAAATGTAATCCTGCCAAATGAGACCTAAGTCCAATCTATTAGACCAGCCTAATAAGTCCTAAAACTTTATGAGATATAATTCTCACTTATTTGAAGTTGCACCTCTATAAAAGTAAAATTAATTTAAAATGTTCTCACTTACAATTTTTCAGAAATATATATATAGATATGCAAACCACTTCGGATTTATGTAGTGCAATGTATAGTGCTTGGCCTTTCAATAGATGGTGCTGTTCACGCGGATTAACATGATGATTGCAGCCTCATAATTTAATTTTATTTGTTTAAAAAAAATTAAAATTGAATGATTAAAAATGATTTGAAAACTAGATTTCTAGTTTTTTTAATAAATTTTTACTTATACAAAAAAACATGATAATTTTATGTGCTTACAATTATTAAATCAGTTTTTTTTTTTTTTAATGAGTCATATATGCGCATGGACTTATAAAATGAATTGATTAAAATAGGAACATGGTGGGTTTCACAAACTGAAATAATACTCTAGTCTAGATAGAATAGAATTCATTCTCAACCTCTTTACCCACAAATCTTAGCAAATATAAGATAGGGAATTTATTGATTTTATCTCATAAGTAAACAATCAAAAAAAATAAAAAATAAAAAATAATTAATTGATAAAAAATATTTTACAAATATGATGATAATCATATCAAATTAGACATTCAATTATGCAACAAAAACAATCCAATAACACATAACTATAATTATATAATAACAATTTCAATAATCATAATCATCCATTTCTGGAAGAATCAAACTGAACACCTCAACAACTTATTATATTACCACAAAACACTAAACGATGTCGGTATGAACAAATATTAGAAAATTGATAGTAAGTGCAAGAGTTAGTTTTTTTCTAGTTTATAATGTGATTTGGAAGATGTTATCTGGATCTATGGAGCCTATCATAGGTCTTATTTCAATAATTCGAACTGCATATGTATCATTTATGAAAAAATTAAGTCGATTTAACAATCGTAATCTCTTCATTTTATCGCATTTGTCTCAAAAAAAATATAAGATCTATTTTTAAAAAGACACAGATCGTTCACTTTTTAAAAAGGTATGCTAGAAAATGAAAACATTATGATTATCGGATTAGCTTAATTTTTTTCATAAATGATATACACAAAAGATTCTATAAAATGAATGATTTGGATTATTAAAACAAATTCATTGTAAATCTTGCTGGATCCGAACCCGGATCTAAATTATCTATGTTATTTTTGTTTATGGGAATCTTTGTGATTGTTTTGAGTCAATTTAATGATTGGCTGAGGCATGATTAATTAGTTAAATTATGCCAAAAAGACTGAGTGCAAGAAGCCAAAAATAATTGGTTGAAATTGGAGCTACCTGTGATACAATACCTTACACAATTATAGGCATGAGATTGATTTTGGACTAAAGTTTTTGAAAATTTTTAAGACTTGCTGCGGTGTTGGGTTATCTTCTTCCCCTCCCCTCCCCCCAAAATAAATATTTTCATACAAAATTTATATACATTCTATCATTAGAATGATACGACAGTAATATTTATGTAATCAATAGTCAACTGATAAAAAAAAACAATTATTTTAAAATGGACTCATCGTACTATCATATCAATCTGTACAAATTTTTTATATACTTCGTTTGTTTGTATAGCGTTGCTCTCATATTCCATTGCTTTAGATCTGCATCTATTAATTAAAAAGGTAAATTAAACTAACTTTTTATGAGTTTTGAGAAAAATATTGTAACTCAAGTTTGACATAATTATATTATTTGCTTTCTTTTTCTTTTTTTAGTTGAAAATTTTAGTTCAAGTTAACACCCTTTTGCTATCAATCATTCCTTGGTTATATGTGTAAATTTATATTTCATCCTTATTTATTTTTGAGTTTGTTCAATATATGTATCAATTTTGTTTGTTTTTTATTAAAGTTCAGTATTTAAATTCATAGAACTTATTGTATTATTTTCAAACAGAAAGAAAAGTTAGTACAATTCACCGTAATTAAAATGTGCATCCACAAGAATATGTTGTAGAATTGATGTCAACTAAATGGTGGGTGATAACTACATTTGTATTGTGTTTAATGATTTATCTTTTATACGTTTATTTTAAGTACAAATAAAGAAAAAGAGTTTATATAAAGTTATAATCAATGTAAAATTTACCGACACACCTTTATAAATTTTCAAAAAAGGAAATGAATAATTGACACAAAGGTTTGTTAATTGATTGAGTTGAATTGATGGTGGTGGAGTGATAATGAGATGAAAAACTTTATACATTTTATTATCCCAAGAATAAATTGGGCATCAATCTTACCAATTACTTAAGAAATATAATTTGGTAAAAATTCATATATCAAATTAGAATTCTAGTGAAAATTCAATGTATTGAATTAATTTTTTTCATTTAACATTAAAAATAAAAAAATTCCCTAGAAGATTAATAGTTAAAATTCCATCAAAACATAAAGTGGAACGAAAGGTGAACCTGATTTATGGTTTTCTCACAAACTGAAAATCAAAAGAATGATTGGCATAAAGATGATTAAAATAAAGCACAATTATTACAAGAATCTATTAATATTAATTTTAAATATCTTTTTTTTGACTTTAGATAAGATGATGATTGATTATATTATAGAAAAATGTAATGGCGTGTAGTCTTTTCTGAGTGCATATATATGCGCCCTAATTACAAAAATGTGTAACTGTTTAACAATTAGTAGCTGTGGTAGGTAGGCCTGCCTTCTCAATCCACACAAAAGAACTATCTTATATGGAACATATGGTATGCATTATACCACAATTATAAATTGCGCTATGTGTAATTTGTAATTGAATATTATAATTATGATAGTTATTTGAAATAATTTATAACAGTTATATATATATATATATCACATTTTGGAGACATTTAAAAAAATAATATATATATATATGTGT